TATATATATATATATACATACATACATATATATATATACATACATATATATATATATATATATATACACACACAGAATCACGGATTAGGGCAAGTTTTCTAGCATACCCTGGGCCCCTTGGTTCCTTTAGAAAGCAGAATGTATGGCACAGATTACCTCAGCATTATTTCCGATACATTTCATCCAGTGGTTCTTCATGTATACTCTGATAGTAACAGCTACTTCCACCACTGATGCCTAAAATCTGCTTGTATGGTTTGAGGAATATGACGAAGACTTCAGCTTCTGCCTTGGCCACCACAATACCCGTATCACAATCTAATCTGTGGGATGAACTTGAAAGATAATTTCGTCATCATTATCTTATGCCTATCTCGATCCGTGAGTTAAATACAATATTAATGACTGAATGGGTAAAAACCCTCAGGATAACACCTTGTGGATCTTATGCCACATCGTATCGTGGATACTTTTGGGCAAAAGGTGTCCGGTCAGTTACTGGATATAGCTCCTTATAAAGTGACCAGACCCTCTATAGCAATGTATGTAGCGATTTATTTTCAGACTGCACTTACATTTTAAAACAATTCCTTCCAGTGTACTCCTTCATATGATAAAATCAATAGAAATAATTACTATTTGCTTTGAATATAGAATTGCGTATATTTACTTTTATCTGTTCAAGCTTTTCAATATTTTTTATATCATTGTGCCGAATTCAAGGAATCTAAACCATTTACTCGTGTATCGGTTAGTTTACAGGTTAGAAGTAGTTTTGAAAGTAGTTTTAAAACCGCAAAAGCAATGTGTGAATTTTGGTTGGTTGTTTTTGAATTTCACGCAGAGCTACATGAGGGCTATCTGCACCAGCCGTCCCTAATTTAGCAGTAAAAAACTAGAGGGAAGTCAGTTAGTCATCACCACCGAAAGACTAGGGGGAAGTCAGCTAGTCATCACCACCTACCGCCAACTTTTGGGCTACTGTTTTCCAACGAATAGTGGGATTGACTGTCACACTATAACTACCCCACGGCTGAAAGGGCGAGCATGTTTGGTGGGACGAGGATTCGAAACCGCAATCCTCAGATTACAAGTCAAGCGCCCTAACCATCTGACCATGCCGAACCTGGGTGGTTGTAATTCAGCACAAAGTTGCTCAATGGGCTATCTGTGCTATTCCACCACGGGTATCAAAACCTGATTTCTAGCGTTGTAAGTCCGCAGACATACCGCTATGCCAATGGGCGCCCGAAATTTTGGATTTATATGTTTGTATAAGCACAAAACACAACAACTCAGTATTTTTTTATTTTCAACTTGAAAATCAACGTTAGGTTTTTATGTTAAATAACCTTATTATGTACCAGGTATCAAAGTGATTATTCTAAATTATTAAATCAAGTAAATAAATAAACCAGTAAATAAATGATAGGGTTTATTCTGTCTTTATAAATCGTTTTAAACATAGTCTATTTACAATTGCTTTAGCTAATTATTAACTGAAGTTTTCCATTGATTCTAGCAAGATGACTTTAAATACTACAATCCTGTAACAAAATGTATAAACATTTTTATGATATTGTGTGAACCTCAGACTTAGAATGATTAACTGTAATATCAACTACAATGAGTAAAATGTACGTTGATTAGTAAGAAATAAACAAAATGTTATATATGCTGGAACTAACAATAGTTGATAAACAGTAATTCTGACACTAAGAATTCATGGTATTTAGGGCACTCGACTCATAACCTGCGGACCACGGGATCGAAACCCTTCACCTAACAGACTCGTTATTTCACATGTAATATGACAGTCAATTCTATTACTCATTGATAAAGAGTAGCCCATGAAGGATGTTGACTAGCTACCTTCCTTCTAGTTTATTACTTCTAAATTCAGGACGGCTGCCCTCCAGTGGCACAGCGGTATGTCTGCGGACTTACAACGCTTGAAACCGGGTTTCGATAACCATGGTGGGCAGTGCACAGATATCCCATTGCGAACTTTCTGCTTCATTATAAACAAACAAACAATATAACTTGATCCTCCGGTGGAACAGCGGTAAGTCTTCGAATTTGCAACGTTAAAATCAGGGGTTCGATTCCCCTCGGTGGACACAGCAGATAGCCCTATGTGTCTTTGCTATAAGAAAGCACACACACACACGCACTCGGGACGGCTAGGGCAGATAGCTCTCGAATAGCTTGGTGCAAGATTAATCAAACAAACACAGAATACAGATTGAACTTTGGTGACTCTAAAGCTTTAGGTTTCTTATTGGTTTGAAAATAACTATTGAA